TTTTGAAATGCAGTATAACTGGCTGTTAGAAAAAGCCAGGGGTGGGATTCAAATTTTTGAACAACTGGTTCTGTGGGCATGGCTAGGTGGGCATGGCTAGGTGAGTGTGGCCATGTGACTGGGTGGGTGTGGCTTTTTTTTTACTGCCCCCCCCCCCCCCTTTTTTTTCCTCCTGGGCCCCAGGGAAACCTCCTGGGTGAAGCAGTAAGACAGCGAGGGGGATCCCAGCACAGCTGAACATCGGAAAAGCTGGTCATCGGGAGGGGGAAAAAGAGAAATACCTTAAGGAGTGACTGGGTGGGGGAGAACACAGTCAGCGATGTCAGGCATGCACGCATTGTCATGCATGCACGATAAGGACTGGGCAGGGAGGGGAGGGGTGGGCGGAGAGGGGTGAGGCCAGCCAGGGGCACAATTTGCCAGTTCTCTGAACTGCACAGAATCATAACAACTGGTTCTATAAAAACCAGTCCAAACCGGAAGAATCCCACCCCTGGAAAAAACCCAGAGAATGGTTGATTGATTCAGCTCTGCCTGGTGCACGTAATTTTTTTTCTTTAATATTTATGATGAAATACTTTTGAAAAAGAATGAAAAAAGTAAACAATAATAGGGAGAAGCCACATAACATATAAATATCAGTGCCAATGCTACAGATCACATTAAACATTTAGGATTTTTAATATAAAATATGTATGTATGTAAAATACATATGTAAACTATAAAACATTCGTTTAAACATACAGTCTTAAACTTATTCACTTGCTGAGTTATATTTCACCATTAGCTTATGGCTTAACATATGTTTCAAATTTGTATTATGAAATTTTCAAGTTCAATCAATTCTTTTTTTTTTTTTTTGTAAGTTTTATTTGAGTTTTCACAAAAAGAAAAGAAATACAAGTAAAACATCTTTTTTGAAAGCAGCATAATCCCGGGTTACATCTCTTTGTACAGACACAAATTCAAGTTCATGCTCATTTTTATATTCCATTCCATATCTTATTACTATTCTACATTTTCTACATAGCTTCTCCCCTCTTTTAACTTTCTTAATTTTATTTTATTTATTTCATCTCAATTCAAATCATTGTACTTATATTCTTTGTCTGTCTTGTTTCAACTGTCTACTATCTTTTCTCATTAAACAAAATTTTTCCTGTAATCACTGATTGGAGTATGACGCCTTTATATCTTTCCCCTAAAATTATAACACTTAATACATAACTTCCATTCGGATTCTGCTTGGCACATTCTAAAACTACACATTGTATTTTTGAAAAAAGAAAAAAAATTATACATGTATAATATAATTAAAACAACAATCCATTCCAATTCAATTCTATCATTAATATTAATATTCATTTAGATCTTAACATTTTGCACATTACTTTTCAAATAAATATCATACTTCTATGGGAACAATTATAAACTTTCCATAGTTAATTCCCCCCCCCCTTCACTTATATTTTATAAAACATTGACTAATTAAAATGTTCCCGTTCCTTCCTAATTCAATTTTCTCATTTATTTTGTTTCATTTATTTTATTCACAAACATTTCCCCAAACCACACCAACTACTTTATCCCTCTTTTTAATCAAATGTTGTTTCCAATTTTCTAAAATTATTTATATTACAAATATAACAATACAATGTTATGTACCTTCACAGAATCCCTTTTTCAGTTAGATTTTCACCCATTATCTCTAAATAGGTCCTGTTTCTTTACATCTTGCTCCAAACTTTTGTAACTTCTCTTCCTTTCCTTCTTCCCCCTCTTCTTCTCTCTCTCCTTTTTACCCCCCTGTCTCTCCACCTCCATTTCCCTCTTCTGTATTTCCCTTTTCTGTTGCTTTCCAACATTATATCCACTTTTCAAATTATTTTTCCCTTCTTTGGCTGTTTTTTTAGGTCTT